ATCTATGTGTTTTTCATTTTAAATAGTATACATGGTGATGCTAAGAGAGTTGCAATCTATTGATTTACTTCATGGGGATTAAACCAATGTTCACATCACTGGGGGGCACCACCTTCTATGGGGAATCATCATGTTTTGAGGCATTTCATCCGGTTTACTGTAATTGGGATGATTTTGGGGGGCTGGCTCAGGAACCTATAACATCATATAATACATCATACATCTCTGAAATTATGATGATGGATGGTGCCTTTCTTTTGCATCATCACTTGGTTGAGTCTTCTGTGTTTCTTCCCTCACGGAATGTGGATGTTGCAACTGAAAGTTTGCCATCTTCAATCTTGACCCATCTCCATTCTGGTATGGATCAACGATCACATGTAGATAGATTCCCCATTTCAACGACCAAGAAATCCAAATCACACATCGCACGTTGACTTTCGGGTCTCCAGCTTTGATCCAGACCCTTTTCGACATGCCTGCACCAACTAGTTATATAGAAGAATGTGGACATGCCTTTATTTTTGTAATGAACCTTCCAATGTGTGCCGCGAAACGCCGATTTCACAGCTCCAGGAAATAGACATGAATCATGGTAGCACGGCGGCAGTTCGGAACAGACACGCTGGAGGTCACAACATGGAGCTATGGGTCATTTTTGTTAGACCCAAGCGTGGAAAAACTGGAAAACCGCTTGCTGCATTTCATATTCCAAGATATTCCAAGATCAATATTTGTAGGTAACATTCAGGCCTGACAAATATTGATCTGATTCATATATTCCAAGATATTCCAAGATTTCTGACCCACATGCGATTTTGGCGGTTGTCCATTGCAGGCAACCTTCGAGAGCTATAGATTCCCCCAAGAAATGACCCGCGGACGTCCCCCAGCAAGGTACCCAGCAAGGTAGGCACTCCTTTTCCGGTTGCTGCATCAATATATAGAGGTTTTTCCCAAGTCAACAGCCAGGTAGTTGATCATCAGATGCCAAAGTTCTCCAAAGTTTGGTGCCTCTACTTTTCAAGTACATACAAGGACGAACAAAAATGCCCATGTAGCCATGCAGCCGGAGCCTTGGGCCGCAGCAGGTGGTGGACCCAGAGGGCCTGGAAATGATGGAACTCTCCGGGTAGGGAGTTTCAGGTGCTATGGGGATCCATAGTCAGCCATAGTCCGTATTCAATGGGGAGCCAAGGAGCTACTGTGTGCACACATGACATGACAGATTGATACTGTAGATATGGACATCGTTGGACATCTATACGCAAGGAATCACAAGGACATGTGATTGTCTGTGAAATGGCATTGTTTGATTCCCCTTGTGGCATAGAGATGGCATAGAGATGCACAAATACATGGATTCCTGACTGGAATTGCAGACGTGTGCACGCTGCGTTTCGTGATGTCAATTCCCTTTTGTTCTCGACACTCTGAAGCTTTCATTTTTCCATAATTTTCTTTGCGAGCATTCAAGTGATATTGAACATTATATTCAACTATATTGGGCAATATTCAGACCATGAACTTGTCAAATAGTTAACGGCTGACTCAAGGCACATCTAAAACTCCTTAAACATGTTTGTTTTGCGCCCATACCAAGGTGCCGGTATCAATGGCGCCGGCCAAGTATCGGCCTCAGTTAGCTGGGAAGTGGTCAGCATTTAGGGGTATTTTGGGGTGTGGCCATGCATTTGCTGGTTTGTTTGAAAACGAGGTATACCATCAAATAGATCGATAATTAGTTCGAATATGTATGAATATGCTATATAGAAATGTGGTGATACACTATGAAATTGGGGGGGGGTATCATATTTTCAGACAAAACCACAGTATCAGTGAGGATTTTTTGAGGAGGAACTGAACATAATACTGAGGATGTATGTACTTTCTTGGATATGTTTGAGAGGGGAGCACCTGGGATGTCGGAAATGTTGGTGATTTCCAATGATCTAAAGAGATCGAAGTACGAGTTGTTGTTGGAACGGAATGATTTTCTTTAGAACAGTTTGAGGAGCCCTGAGGCCCTGAGTTATTTGGTTGGTAGTTTCAAACGCATTTGATTGTCCCTCTCCAGAAATTGGGATGACAGCAATGGCCTCTTTTTTTTCCTGGCGGGGGCCCAGGTACAGTCGCAGGGGAACCCAGCAGCTGACAGGCTGTGATGAAAGGAAAGAGGTGACCACCTTTGGGGATGAACATGACTTAGGCCACCAACAACCAATATAAGGGCGGATCTGAACCATCTATTGGTGCCACCTTTAGACCGGCTGAAAGTGATTTCCAAGACATTTGCCACAGCCTGTCACAGCTACGGGTGAGGTTTCCTTTGGACCTAGCATGATTCGCAACTGAAGTCCTCCCTTTGTCATGAGACTTGATCTCATGGAAAGATTCTTGAAGCTACCAACACCTGCAATCCTCCTTGGAGTTCCCTTCGTTTTCTGGAGTTCCTTCCGCCCTGTATCGTGTCCAAAAGTGTCGTAATTTTGAAAACCACCGCCTAATCATCAAAATGGCTTTGTCCGAAAATAGGAAACTCCAGAATCCATGGTTTATCAGTTTATCAGAGGAATTTGCAGTAAACACAACATTTCGAGACACACCCAAACATCATAACCACAATACTGTGTATATATAATATACACCTATATCATTATATTCCCCCTTATCTGGGTAAATTATAACGACCTCACTGTTCTCCCTCACTGGAATCATGGCTAGTATTGGAAATCATCCCCTTTTATGGCCCAAGATTTCAGGTTAGTGAATTATTATAATTTACCCAGCCTTATGTACAGTATACTATTGATTCCCTATGTTCAACGGTTACATCCACATGTCCCGCTTCGATTTCGGGGCCAAGCCACGACAACCGCAGCGGCACGGCAGGTTTCAATCACGGCTGGCGGCACTGCAGGCCTCGATCGTGCTCGAAACAGGTAGTAATGACGATTGAAATGGGGATTTCGTTGGGAATTTAGTTGTTTCAATGGGTTTTAATGGGATTTCTATAGGGGATTCCAAGGGGACTCTATTTTGGGATTTAGCTTTATCTAGAGCTTTTACTATTTTCTCATACTAACGAGACATGGGAGTTAATTGGGACTTTAACTACCTTGTTCTAGAGCTTTTTTTTTCATGCTGTGTTTGTTTTTCATTGGGTCTTATGCTACGAGAAATGGGATTTTAGTGTACAGTAATGGATACAAATCTAGATCCAGATGTTTTGTGAATGTTATTTTTAATGGTGTTTTATAGAGTCTTTACTTGTTTTCACATTGAAACATATGGGTCCAGAATTGGTACATCATGGCTGGTTGACAATATTGGGTGTCTTGTTTTGTACTCCCGAATATGCCGAAGATTGTCATTATCCATTGGCTGGGGGTCGCGTTCTTGCCCAACCAGCATGGGATGACAGTGGTGCTTTCACACTTGCAGAAATAACTTCTGATATAGACGTCCAAATAGATGGTTCGTAGGCTATAATGTTCTAGGTCAGTTCCTGACAATCAAAGACCCAAGCCACCTTTTGGACTTATTTTAACGATGTCAGAACTGGCCTCTTAACAATCAACAGTTGTGGTATTTAAACCCATCCATTTTGGGGACTAACCCCACGTTCTGTGACCAAAATCCAATTTGAATTGAATGAACTCTCCAACTCACATATGAGTTGGTGAAACCAGGCCTTTTTGATTATTGTTGCTGATCAAGATTACGTTTCTACTAGTATCGGGTCATGGCCGATCTACAGTATAGGTTTGATATATGTCAATAGTACTGTCTAAATGGGTATCTTATATATATATATGTGTGTGTGTGTCATATTATATATTTTTGGGGTTCATTCTTCACCTGCTGCCACGGCCTCGTCTCAGTGAGAGGGGGTGCGACCTTGCAGGGTGCTCAATGCATGATCTCTGTCCTGCAGGATCGTGGTAGTCGCTTTGAATTTGGGAGAGGAACGCATGAGAAGTCTCTATATAGTCATCCCCAAATAGATGAAAAAGTAAATCAGCATCAAATTAGTAGGGATTTACTTTTCCATCTATTTGGGGATGACTATACTGTATATTGATATTCAAATTTCTGACCGCACATGCATGCCTCAATCAAAATCCCATGAAAGTACGTCGTAATATGTCGTAATTAATATACCCTCAACGTATTGTGTTAACCACTAGACCCTTGGTCTCGTTTACACTACCTGGCCAGGTTGAATACATCTAAGAGCGCAGAAAGCTTCACACCGCGGATGGAATCAAACAAGATTGCTGGTTTTCAGCCAAGCTGCAGTTTCCAATCAAGAAAAAGACATGTAGATCATTGGGGTGACCAAAGGCATTTTTCTTGCAATACTGGTTCCATTTATTCACCTGAACTCTCATTTTGGTCCTTGATCTCCCATTAAACTTGATGGGTCCATTAGAGCGAGCCTTCGCTCCTAGCCACCTTTTTTCAGCAATCGACAAACATTCACTTTTGTAATTAGCCACCGTTTTCCACATTTTGTTAAAACTCGAGATATGTTTTGGTTTTTCGTGTTGAAGCAGTTTCAATCCCTCGTAGTGTTCCACTTTTTGATTTGGGGTTGAGCATTTCAATTTGACAGAAAACATCAAACAACATCAATTAATACAGTAAATCATTGAAATTGAACAGCACCGAGCCTGACTTTTCAGCTCCATGGCAGGGCGTTCATTTTCTTAGCATTTTTCACTTTTGCTACACTTTGCAGGTTGTCGCCTTCTAGCTCTAGGGCAAACCGTTGGAAGCCCCGGCCCCGGCAAAAAAATGAATGGACAATTGAGTAGATAATTCTAGCATAAATATAATCTGGATGGATGATAACGAGCTCACTGTGACCTGACAGGGACCACTATCCCAAAAGAACCGTGCTTCAGGTAAGTGATTTATTATGATTTACCATGATTTGCCCAGATAAATGAAACACATAAAGTAAATATTAACGCTGGAAAAAAACTCGGCTGTGCCAGGCACCTTCCAGCGAGATGATTGAGAAACTCCAGGCGGTGCCAGGTGCAAAGTCTGAGGACTTGTGGACCACTGAAAAAAGGGCAATGGGAAATCCACTATAAATTAGAGGTTTGGATAAACCTCAACTTTTTCCTAACAAGAAAACTTGGATATGCGGGCTGATTATTTGTTATTTTCCCAATGGGGAACCCACTAGGACTGGCTACTTTAGGGAGTTTTCAAAATTCTGACTGTTTGGGGATTCCTTTAGCAAATCCAAGAGAAGGAGTGCGAGAACCACTACACTTTGTAGAATATGTTCAGAATGATGAGGATTTGGCCATTGGGGTAGACTGTGAGCATTTCACCCACTTGGTTATTTATATGTTTTTAGATAGAGAGAGGGTTATTATACGACCCTTAGTATCATCCATTGTGGGCAGCTCATCAGCCAAGCGGTCTTGATTGGTGATTGTTCACAGGTTTTTACAGTGTTCGATAATGTTCGTATGATTTTTTCAAATCTGTACTGAGTCATTTGTTGAAGGCCATACCTGCAGCAGCCAGGAACAATCTCGTCCGAGATAGGTTCCAGTCTGCCAAAATACGCCAAACTGTGACCTGTTAATTAGGGGATGCAACCCGCAAACAATGGACTTAAACTCATGAACATATAGAGAATGAAACCAACAGCAGTCGGTGTAAAAGGTCCATAGAACTAGAACCTGCTTAAAATGCTTGAACATATTCAGTTTGGACCCTTAGTGATAATTCAATGTGGATGTCACCAAGAATCATGAATCATGGAGGTAAGAGGCTAAGTACAGCTTCCACTACCCAGTTGTTACTTAAGTTTTCCAGCCAGCCCCTCACCCGCAGGTTCCCTGGAAGTTTGTCGTTTCGGGATGTCTTGCCAAAGAGCCGGATGTTGGTGCCCCGGTGGCAGTGGATTGGTTCAGACTCCAATGGCCTTGGTTGGTGGTTTGGAACATGGCTTTTATGACTTTAATGGATATTTGGAACATGGATTTTAATGGATTTTAATGGATTTTTCCATATATTGGGAATGTCATCATCCCAACTGACGAACTCATATTTTTCAGAGGGGTAGGTCAACCACCAACCAGTTCTCGTTGTTTTCTCTATGACCATGTTCTTGGAGCCAAGCCTGGAAACTTTCATTTTCCTGCAGCCTATAGGTACTCGCACCCTGCGGGACGTTTGGTTGACCTGAATCCCACCAAAGCTTTGTGTGCCTTGGCCGGATCCCGGAGTCTTGCGCTTCCCCTGGAAAGATCCCACCAGCTGAACAATAAGCTGACCCCTCCGACAACTTAGTTTGAAGAACTTTGTTTTTTGTCTACAATGATGCTATTGGTATTGGAATTGACATGTCATGGCTATACACACGCGCAGATAGATATCATTCGCATTTTCTTTCGGGTCTACTTACTGGTTGGTGGTTTGGAACATGTTTCATCATTTTTCCATATATTGGGAATGATCATCCCAACTGACTAATATTTTTCAGAGGGGTAGGTATACCACCAACCAGCTTAGATCCTCAATTTCCCTATGAAAATGGGTAAGTCTCGAGGCTTTCGAGGTGCAGAGTGTGACAAGATCGATTGTTGGCGCCTACATCCCCCAGCCCCTTGGAGCAATGGGCCATGGCTCTTCCGCCTTGGGTAATGGTGTGGTTTCGTTGCTGGGGGTGCTGCTTTGGGTAGAGAAGAAGACAGGCATGTCTTGTCTTTGAAGTTGAGCAGTGTTCCAAACCCTGGCTGGTTGATGATTATAGAGCATTATACTATATTATACTACCCAATATGTTGGGGATTATGATAATATTGATAATCCAATAGGGGGATCCCTATAAACCAACCAGTTGGAATGATAGAGGCTTGAGTTGGCAGTGAAATTTCGAAGAAGTTTGAGTGATCCCAGGGCTCATCTTGTCCCAGGAGCGTGACCTCAGAGTCGCTCGGTGAATGGCTGGCTGCTCTGGCTTGGTTCACACAACAAAGGGTAGGGGGTATACCCTACCTGTTCAAGTGGTTTTGCCTTGAAGGTTGACCATGGCAATTGCTGGATGTTCCACATGTGTTAAAAATGATGTCGCAGCATCAAAGCAATTTGCCAACTTGACTTTTTGGTTGTTGTCTCGGACACATGTCTTGATCACAGCATGATCACAGCTATAGCAGCAACTAACTTATTCACTGAAAGTTTTCTACAGGTCACGACGGTCTATCCCGATCCTTGGTTTTTGCGAATCTCACCGGGCCAATGGTCCAAGAGCTCCCAGCCCATGGCAACTCGGCACTGAGATGTCTCCACCTGGGGATTTTCTCATCTTTTTGGATGAGATTCCGATGCCCTTCCGTCCCGAATTGAAGCCTGGCCCTGGCGATCGAGAGGCAGATGCAGAACTGGTTGAAGGAATGAGGAAAGAGGTTGCCTTTGTGGTATACTCCTGGATAGGTGAGTTGGTTTATCATGTTTATACGGTTTTTAGCGTTTTGTTATAACTTATAACTATTAACTGGGATTTGTGGTGGATAATTATAATCATGTCTAAATTGATTGGAAGTTGGAATGGTAGATTTTCCCTCTAGATTGGATGAGCGCCCCATTCGCTTTGTGCAGTATGTGCGCTGCAAGCAAAGTTGTGTTTGAGAATAGGGGTACCCCTAATTTCATGCTTTATCATGCTTTATCAATGTGTATCACCCATTTTCCTTTCAAGTAGTTGCCAATTCGAATGTGACCCCTATTTCCATCCATTTCCAGACACACCCAAAATCATATTCATGGGTGATTCTACAACATTCTATAACAGTATATCAGCAATAAATCTCAAGAAAGTGGTGGATTCATATACTTTACTCCATTTTTCATGGGTTAAATCAAGTTAAATCCTGCTTAGATCCCCAAAATTTCCAAGATGGACCTTGGCCACTCTGGGAGGTCTTCATTGATCCCTTGCCCGCGGACTATGGCAGCGACGAGCTGCAAGAGTTCTTGGCCGCCTTTGGGGAAGTGGAGGAAGTTGCTTGGTGGGGTTCGTGGAGGGCGGAGAGACGGGACGATTTTCGGGGGGTGTCGCGAGTTTCTTCAGGGTGGGGATGATTTTTGACGGCCAAAATAGGGAGAACGCTGTTACAACAGAAAGGCCGGACGTTTTCAAGTTGAAGGGCGGATGAGAACTTGCGATGTGGGAGTTTGGCCAGCAAAACCAATCAAACAAGGGAAACAAGGATACTATTGGGATATGTCCTGAAGAGTTGCCTCAATCTACTGGAGTCTTCCAGATTTAGGGAAGGGCTGTAGGTGGGAAAGATTGATGTTATGGCGGAGAGGTTTCCAGCACGATTTTCGAATGTGGGTAGGTTTGCTGGTCATGAACCACAATTCTCCACTCTACAGTGGTCCACAAAAAGATAGAAAAGCAGTTTATTTTATTTTATTTTGATAGGATTGTACTTTTCTATCTGTATTCGCTGTTCTTTCTGGAGTCTCAACATGAAGTGCCCTGTGTCCACTTAGGCAAGTTTTACATAAAGGCTTCAATCAATTGATGATGACGGTTCAGATAACTGGTGTCAAATGTATGCAAACCAAGCATCTGGGCAAATTATAACGACCCCACTGCGACCTCACTGGAATCATGGTTAATAAGGAAAATCATCCCCAAATGGCTTTATTTCGGGTTAGTATAAAACTTCTGATTTACCCAGAAGTATATAATGTGCGGCAAGTTCATGACTTTCCCTATGGATTTGGCCATGGCGTGCCCGAACTGTTCTGTGCTGCGCTGTTGCGAATGGCGTGGCGCGAGAAGATCCGATGGTGACGTCGCTGGTCTGTTAGGGCAGGGAAGCTGCCCAAAATCACCATACATCAAGTGAGTGGATTTTCAAAATAGGTGCGTGCATCGACCATTGATGAACATTATGTTTCTATGTTCGGATCGCCATTTGATTCATTTGATAGTGTAATGTGGTGAGCCATTTCTGCTGGACGTTGATGGGAAACCCAGCTCCCATGTTGCAAGTTGGTTCCATGTAGCAATTACGTCCCATGTTTTGTTCGCAAGACATGTAAGATCATGTAGAAACAAACCAATGTTGAATGATGAGCCATGGGCAATGATGCAATGGCTAACTTTGCATGATTTGCAATCGCCCCCACTAGCATAGGCTCTCAAAATCACCAACTGTTTAGATTTAGAGCTAAGTATCCCAGTCCCCATTGGGCAGGGTCTATGCTACTATGTCAATTGAAGGGATGGTGCATCCTTGTGTTACTCTCCGGTATTCAATCGTGGCAATGAGAAATTACTAGTAGAACTAGTGTTTTATTTTGTTTGGTTCCAGGGGAAAAACATCTATTAATAGTGGATATTGTTGGATTTTCCAGCCATCCATGTTTGATTATATTAGAGGGTAATGGTAAAATAGCAGGCTAGCTAAAACTTTGTATCGTTACCTCGCGGCTGCTGCTGTCCTCGTGAGGTTTTTGGAGCGCCGATGCAGTTGGGTGGAACTGAACGAAAAAAAGTGAGGGCAGCAAGGGGATGGAAGGGGAATACTATAAGGTGCATCCATGATTTTATCATGAGTTAACTATGTAAGTTTATGATTTTTTTGTAACGTACAAATTTTAATATATATATACTTATATATACACAATTATATTCATATATGCATATTGTATATTTTTGCGATTTTCATATAGTACCATAGTATACTTATCGTTTGTATTATGTATGCGTATGGATTCGGTTTTTGTTTATCGAACACACACGTGCATTATATATGTATATATGTGTATATATATATATGATATAATGTGTAATACATACATGATCATACATGCCGATTTCTCATGATATTCAAGTATGATACTACCTACAAGTAGCCATATATGAGAGAAAGAGATGGCATCAATGTCCAATTTCTTTTGGTGAACTGTCAGTGGGAATCAATGCCATTGTCAGTTGCATGGGTTCGGTCACCATCTTTGGATCTTGGAAGCGTCGAGACTGGTAGACATTTTTTGTGACTGGCAAAACATATGCCTGGTTGGTGGTTTGGAACATGGCTTTTATGACTTGCCATATATAATATTGGGAATGTCATCATCCCAACTGACGAACTCATATTTTTGAAAGGGGTAGGTCAACCACCAACCAGTCACATGTTCATGGGTAGGACTTGGTCACCAGCTCCAAAGTCTTGGGCGCCGCGATCTTGGCCCGACAAGACCGTGGCTACCGGGCTACATCGGGCTACCGGGCTACCCTGCTTTGTGTCAGCTGAGTCAGTTCAATTTGAACTGACAACTGACAACTGGTTGGTGGTTTCAATCATTTTTTATTTTCCATTTCATATATGGGATGTCATCCTTCCCATTGACGAACTCATATTTTTCAAGATGGTTAAAACCACCAACCAGAACATGTTTATTGGAAGAGTGGAAGCAGGCAATTTTTTCCCAAATGTTTCATCATCGTTTTCCCAGTCAGCACGATAGCACGATACAGCGGGCCGCGGGGTGCTGGGTGCGCCTTTTGCCCATGGCTGGTGGAAAGTGGCCGAGCACTGGATCCTCCAATGGTCCAGGTCGGTGGTTCCACTGGGTCACAGTTGGAGGACCGGGTCCCAGGGTTCCATATGGTTCCATCATGTCAGGATGTCAGGCTGGAAATTCATCGGCAGGTTTTACCCATCAATGATGTATATCTAATATTATCATATATTATCTATAATTATGTGTAATGTTGTGTATATATTCTCGTTCGAATTTCAACTACAGAATGGGAGGCCTTGTGCCCCGTTTCAAGGCCTATCCAGGCTTAAATTAAGATGAAAAAATGGGGATGGGCCAGGCATTTTGTACCCAGAGCTTGGGAATTGCATTTTATGCGTTTTCAACGTTTCGGTAGTTGAAAGACCTTTAAGAATCGAAAGTCATTTTGTAGCAAGGGAATTTGCCCATCGGAAGACAACATGTAAAAACCCAATCTCATTTTGTAGCAGGGTAAGTTGCCCTTCGGAAGGCAACATGTGAAAACCCAATCTCATGATGCGCAGCAAGTGGTGGGAACATGTGGGAACATGCTGAGCCAGCAGTGAAACACATATACTTTCCAATCATTTCCAATTGTCATTTTGTAGTATTGAAGTTTTCCCTTCAAGTAACCTGATGATAAAAGCATATAAAAACCAATCTGAATTTTGTAGTGGCGGAGTTTCCCCTGCAGGTAACTTGATGATAAAAACCAATCGTCATTTTGTAGTGGTGGAATTTCCCCTTCAAGTAACCTCATGATAAAAACCAATCTTCATTTTGTAGCAGTATCATGTTGTCATTTTCCGTAAATCCTCTGGGGGTTGAGAACCATCATTTTGTAATGGCTGAGGTTAGGAATTTTGATGCTTTGGTACAAAATGGGTTCTCGACCCCATAGTAGAAATTCAAACCGGGATGTGTATATATAATCTTCCCGAGAATATGGAATGTTCAAAGATATATGTCCATCTGAATGATGTTTTTCGAAGAGTGCATATTTATATGTTTTCTCTAGCTCAGGATGACTACATAGTGTGTCTTTGCGTTATCATCATGATTCATTTTTTGGACAGTTCCACGGAAGTGGTTGCATGTTTAAATGGTGAGCAAGGAATGGTGCAGTTTCTTCAGTTGCATCATATCAACAGTCTGCTTGAATTTGAGATGAGTAATTGTCCCATTTGGTCACTCACAAAAGCATCACGCATGGTTGGTAGAGCACAGAGAGCCTGACTCTTGAGATTTGGTGAAGTTGGTTGTCTTCTCGTGACCTGTCCATTTTCCATGCCCATTCTTCAGAAAATGAACTGACCTCCATTGGAATATCTCCCAGGGTCCCAGTCAGGGACCTGGGGCCATCAGGCTATGGCTGCGCCGAGCCTGGACGACTTCGACCTGGTCCAATGTGGAAAGACGCTCAAAGCCTACGCCCAGCGCAGCGACTGGCGAGCTGCCGTGAAACTGCTCTCGACCCTGGAGGCTGAGACGCTGATGGATGCATTGGAAGCCCCAAAGAGTGAGGGAAAAACATAACATGTAATTATCATGTACCACCATTTGAGCCGGATTTGACCTAAATCATCAAAAAAATATTGGAGAGTTAAAAACGGCAAGCGGCTGATTAGTGGCAGGTGTACATGTGCCGCTTACTCCAGGGCTTTTGATCCTTCATGATTTTCAGGGTTCATCCGGAATCCACGTTTTTAGAAATGGAATAGGATCACCGCAGCCGTTACCTTCCAGATTGCGAAAACTCAATGGTGAAAACCTTGTGCTTCATGGTTGTATAATCATTCAAATATGTCCATTGTATGGATAAATCACTTACTGTAAATGTCCATGATTTGGCCGGTGAAATCCATGTTTCATTGGACCAAAGCCATGCAACTGTCCGAATTGCAGCCCAGGCCAGCTCTACCAAGGCCAATGTCATCCTCTACAGTTGCTTGGCGGATCTTGATTTGTGGCCAGAAAGATTCCGAAGTATGTGTTTCCAGGTTGTTATCCCATAGGATCCATGTATGCTATATATGGTAACATTTACCATCAATATACCCCCAATGTTAGCATATATACCATACATGGATCCTATGGGTATAGACAATATTTCATATGTCATTGATATTTCCAGGTTTCCCACTGTCCCACTGTTCGATCGGGTGTTGCTTTTTTCGTTGCGGTTTCAATTCAATGGCCAGGATGTGAAACTTGCAAGCTTCGAGTTGTTGACTGCTCCATTTGTTTGAAACGATATTTGGTATATTGGGATGGTTTGAAAAAGACCAACCCAGGCCTAGAAAGGTCCCAGGGCGATGGAGAGAGGGAGAGAGAGAGAGAGAGAGAGAGTCTGTCGACAGCTTTGAATTTCAGGTTTCTACCAATGTATATTGATGAACACTTGACATATCTTGGCATCGTCAGCCTCGTTTTTTTTGCCCGACTGGCGAATCCCACAAACACTTGGAAGTGCAGTTCCCGTTATTTAAAGTGGACCAGTAACCAAAGTTATAGCGGTTATATCCCAACTTTTGGGGCTCTACAACCATGGTTATACCATGATACCATGGTTATATATAGCAACATAAAAAAGAAAGCTCAACTGCATCCCCTTCACCAGGTACAGTGGTGACATGCTGCGAGCGATGTCACCAATGGACTGCTGCCTTGCAGTTGCTGAGAGGGGCGGAGAAGCAGCATCTCAGCCGTGATGTTTTTGTGACCTGGTGGGCTATGGCCCTTATGGGCCTCAAATAAGATGATATTTGTCACCACAGTTTTAGGTGTTACTTATGATATATTTCACCAACTAGTTACAGGAGTTGTATTTTACTACATAAAACCAACTAGTTATAGCTATGGAAAGGTCATCATGTGGGGAAAGTCCCTGCAAATGGCGGTTTATAGCTGGAAACAATCATCTATAAATGCTGCGATTTTTCATTGCCACGTTTGATTGCCGGAGGGTAGCTGGCAGGTGGTTTGACACTGTGGATTTAAGATTATTCGTTGAGATGATCATCTTCAGTGACTTGATATCCGTTTGGATGGGTTGGAATCATCAATAGGTATAAGTAACATGTAGAAACCGTTATAAATTGAGGATTGTTGTATCCCAGTTACAAATATGTAGTAGAACCTGTTTTTTGCTCACAGACTTGATGGGCTGGGTACAAATCCACACATCCGTTGAGGGTTGGGAATGGCCCTGATTCTCGGACGCTCCATGAAAAACTGCGAATGTTGACATCCCTATGGACCGAGTGCCCGAGAACGGACTTAACCCCCCACACACCAGTCATACTCCGAAGCTACAGCCGGATCCACAGGGCACAATTGATTTCACCTGTGGATCCATTGTCGTTGCATATTTGCGGCTTAGGAGCATTGAAGCAGACACCATTCTCTACAACAGCGGAATCAGCGCATGTGTCAAGGGTCACTTGTTCTTTGTGTCTGGAGATGCAGAGACATTGCCGATCCTTCTACCCTTCGGTAATCAAAGCTGCTGGTAGCAATGGGAAATACTTACAAACGGGGATTTGAATGCTCCAAGTTGGGGAGTGCTTGAAAGCCCCAACTGTCCATGTCTTGAACTGGTCGGTGGCGGAATGCTGGGGGTCCAAAGTTGAAACATGGCAATGCCCCAAAGATTCTCGCTCGGCAGGTTCAGAATGGCAGGGTGCTTTGCAACTGTTGCGGGGCATGCAAGACAAGAGCATTCCTGCCAGCGTCATCTCGTCCCTTGGTAGTCCTTGGTGCTCAGACACAGGTGGGATTGACAGACTGACTGTTCAGAAAAGGTAGACACTGAACAATAAGGCCTCATTAATTATGGGGCTATCAAATACCTTCACCCCTTGTTAAGGACCTATTAATCAGCTACCTTGAACCCTTACTAAGGGGCTATCAACTACCTTCAACCCTTAAAATGCTCTAATTGTCCCATAGCGAGTGGGCAACTGAGTTGGGCAGTTTGGGAACTGACAAATAGCCAGAGCTTCTGCAGCCGTTGCAGATGCTACGGGGGGCCCTGCGATTCTGCTCCCCTAAAACTCACGAGTGCGGCATGCAATGGGCCCCAAGAGCTATGAAAAATCCATGGCTTTCGTCCAATGTCCCAGGTTCAACTCGGCCTTGAGTGCCCCTTCTGGCCGGAGCTGGCGCTTGATGCAGCTGTTGCTGGCCGAGCTGCGAGACACACAGCTCCAGGTGCGGTGGGTTTGCTTAGCATATTGAATCAATCGATCGTTTTCGGGGATAATCATAATATTGAACCAAGCCAAGGTTGTCCATACCCATTAGCAGTTTCACTGGTACCTCCACGTTGATGTATGTGTATATATGTATATATATTTATATGTTTGATGGAAATATATATATATAATACTATATGCATTTGCATATGTATATATATATAAACATACAGTGTGGACTGTTTTCCCACCTATAAACTTCCATTTATAGGAGACGTTCATTTGCCATTTTGTGGTGAAATGCCACGTTTCCAGGCCACTGTGGTGAGCTACAACAGTGCGATCTCTGCCAGCGTTGCAAGTTCCGTGGTGGACGACATGGGCTTCTTCTGTGGAGAGAGGTTATGTATGGTTATGTGTATGGCTCGAAGCGTAGCACTGGAAAATCTCTATAAATAGATGGTTTCAATGGGAAAATTGTTTGTATAAATGGGAAGTTGTCCATTGCCGCGTTTTGGATTACCAGAGGGCGGTGAGATATATATGCATATATACATACCAATAATGTTCACCTCAAGATACCAAAGCCATCAGTTTGCCTAGTCATAATTCAACTTAGTGAGGCTTCACCACATGGCATCCCCCCTTTTGGCCCCGGCCCTGGCCTGCACCCCGCAGGTTGGTCGCTGGCATTGGCCTTGGTGGCTGAGCTGCACCTCAAACAGCTCCAGCCGGATCTCATCAGCTACAACGCAGCGACCGGATGGCATTCCCATGGATGATGGGTCCTTGGGCAGTTACCCTCCCGAACATTGACAGCCTGAAAACAGCAAACTGTGTGGAAACTAATCCTCCAACTCCCTATCCGGCAGGGTCAAGGGTTAATTTTTGGGATGGTCGATCACCCCAAGAACACCTCAAAGGGTGAGTTGATTATATGACAGGTGGTATAGCTACTAAGCAGTGAAATGTAGGGTGTTCAATCTTGTCACTGGTTACATGGATGGCTGTTAATTCCAGGGCTGGTTCATTTTCTTTTGGGACTGAGATGGTTTCTCATGTTTGATCCGCAACGTGGATGTGGAATGGATTCTGGGACTTCCCATGTTGGAATGCTAGAAGGTCTTAATCCGATTTCCTCCTTTCATACTCCACAACCCCCAGAAAACATGGATTTGTTTGGTGATAAACAATGAAAACAAACACATATTATATAGGAATTGTTAGGATCATATTAGGGACCATTACCATTCCTGGTTGGTGGTTTCAAACATGTGTTATTTTCCATTTCATATATGGGATAATCCTTCCCATTGACTTTCATATTTTTCAGAGGGGTTGAAAAAACCAACCAGTTTTACATATTTATAGTGTATTTACTCATTAAACATGGTGATTTTCCATAGTTACGTTAGTTTACCAGAGGGTGTTAGGGACCATTACCATTAATATCCACTAACCATAGGGCTGTGGAAGGGTTTATGGATCCATGGATCCAAGGCGATGGATGTGATCGGCTCCTGGCGTAGGGCCCACATGTTGCGTTCTTCCATGGCGGCATTTGCACAGCCGGATGTCGTGACCCTGGGAGCAGCTGCTTGGTGAGACTAAATGGTGGTAAATGTGAAGTGAAGAGGCTGGTTTGGAGCTGGGATATTTTGGGATATTTTATTATACTGTGGACTGTGGATGGAAGAAATCCTGAACCACCTTGGATGGTTGAAACCCTATAAATAGTGGGATAAACCACCTTCCACTTGGTTCATTTTTTTTTCGCAGGTTTCGAGTTTCGAGGTGCGTTTTTAAGTCAGGTTTCGAGTTTGCCTTTCTCGCTGATTTCCAGGCTACGAGTGTGAAAATTCTGCATCTCAGGGTGTCAGTAAAAAATGCCCTGATGAACAGGGCTGACTCATTTGACTCTTGCTGAAAGCTGCATTTCAGTGGCAACATTGAGGTAACTCTTGCAAGTGACTAACATTATTGTGGGTAGTAGCATCAATACTTGACATGCCAACAACTTTTTAACATTAACAAACAAGAGGTTGCTGCTTTCTCATTGAGCCTCCAAGTTTCTAAACATGACAGGAATGTGCCTATCAGCATATGCGAAGGAAAAACATGTCAACCACTTTGGGTGCCAGCAATAAGTCATTGCGAAAACACGACATAAATACGATCCCAAACAATCATAGACCCTGCCAGATAGGCGATTGAACAATTACTAGTACCTCTAAAAAATGATGATTCCCAGGGTCAAGTTGCTATTTTTGTGGATCCTAAAACCATTTGTTCAAGTGGTACAACCCAAATTGTTGCTGAAGAACCATTCAAAAACCATTCAAAAACCTTTATAGATAACATAAAATACATAAATAACCATCAATTAGTAACACAACCATGTTTTATATTTTTGGATCCTTCGACTCTGAATTTGATTCCAGGTCATGACGGGCAATCGGTGGGAAAGATCCCTGCAGCAGGTGCAGACAGAAGCTGGGCGCAGTGTGGTTCAACCTGGGGCAACCGGTGCTTGACCCATCACCAGGTCCTAAACAAAATGGTACATGAAGTACCTGAGTACCAAAATAAATCCCATGAAATCCTATGAAATCCCATGAAATCCAATGAAACCCACATATTAAACCCATGAAATTCCATAAAATCAAGCTCTGACTGTTTTGGTAAATGCCCAAAATGGATGTAACGTAACGATTTTGATCCGGGCTTTGGGTTGATGAAAAGGTGATGAGGTTTTGACATAATGTGATTCCCCCAAAAAATGAAGAGACTTAAAAAAAAAGGTCTATCAACAATAGTCAAAAGTATGTTTAGAAATAGACCCACTTGGTAGGTTCTGGATTTGGGGCTTGGCCATACTTATAGGATCTTATAGGGGCCCATATCTCAACTTATGGTGGGTTACCATGATTATACCCAAAATAGTAACCCCAGTTGCACCTCAAGTGGTTCAAAAGACTTGACTTTTTTCGATCAATGGGTGAATATAACACTATATTAATGAATGACATGGATCAAAACCGGTTTATCAATAGACTAACTTGGAAGAATCTCGGCACTTTAAGCTTCACCACTTGCCCTTGGGGCTGGAAGATCAATGGTTTTCCTGATGTTTCCAGCCAAGATTTTCGTTTAAAGCAATCCATTGGAACCTGACTATGGTTGGTTTCCCCATTAGAATCCCATTATATCCCCATATATACCCATTTATGCCCTATATATATATATTTAATATATATATATATATATCCGTATATGATTCATGTATCTCTATATATATATATATTCCCCTATAATCCATATTGAAGCCATTCAAGGAGAGACATGAGCTGAACATCGTGGCCTGCAACGCCGCCATGGCGTCCTGTGGCTCGTTGTGGCTCCGTGCATCTTCACTGCTGACGGAAGCGCTCGCTCTGGAGCTCCAGCCGGCTTCCAGACGCTCGGTGACCCCGATTGGTGATTCAACCAATATAGAGCTTGTGTATAGACTACCAATGGTGGTTAAGACATTTTTTTAGACTTTAGTAACAATGATAGTGACGTATAGTGACCATATTAATGATATCAATGAATATAGTAGTGGTTTTTATGTTCCCCCATCAATTTTCTGTCCCTCTAGTTGCTAGCATTGCTCTGGAAGGGTGTGATGCGCCGAGATATGGCGACCCTGACAACATTCCAGTTATAGAGGCGGTTCAGGTGCAGTACCTTCGCCTCACCAGGGAGAATGCGAAGCTTTTTGATTGCCATTTACAACAGGCTCCACGGAGGATACGTGGCACCAAGCTGCAGCGTGAACAACGCCACGGGAGAAGAGGTAGAAGACTCCCTGGACATCTTGGGAACTGAAGTGGCAGGCAGGACTCCTACTCTGTTCAGGAACGCTCAGACCATGCAGACCTTTCTACTTCGCCGGATACGGTTGCTTGTGGAGCAGTGACACAACCACGCATTGATCAACAGCCCCCGCCCACAGAAACCGACCTTGCGTGAACACGGATTCGAACGCACTTCTTTGGCCGGCGATCAGATTCAGGAGATCATTGAAATCAATGAAATTTAAATCAGCTTCTGGAAAGGTTTCAGAATGGGGCATCGTATTAAAAAAGATAGCCTATATATATATATGATATATATATATATATTAAACTATAAAACTGTACGCCAAATTGATTTGTAAGGAATAAGAGAAACTATAAGATAAAATTCCTGTCTATGTTGTATGAAGTGGGTCCGAGCTGGAACAAGAGGCTTTGCAGAGAACATCCTATGTCGGGAAAAGCTCTTTTCTCCTATCAGAAAAGGGCACTTTGCTCCTGCAGGTGCCAAAAAAACTTGGTTGGTGGTTTGGAACAGCCGTGTCGGCCCAATTCCTGCCAGGGGTGCGGCTGCCCCTGCCAATCGTTGGGTGGTGTGTCCACAATTTCCTTGCCATGACTAGCGTTCCCATGGATATTTCGTCGATTCCTTTGAATGATGTGGTCAATATGGTTGGAAAGGTACTCATTTTCGATATTGAGCATACCTCACATGTGATGGAGACCAGGACGGGTGATGCAAGATTCATTTATGAAGGTTTTCTTTCAGGTGTGTTTCACTCTTTCACCCTGATGAATGTCTGTCTCACCAAGCAGGCGCCAGTTCCAATCCTGAGTGCGACCAAGGATACTGTCACTTTGGGACATCAAGTACCAACGTGGGAATCACTTCATTCTGTAATTGATGTGTGTTGCGGTTTTGGTGGCATGGCCCAGGGTGCCACAGCCGCCGGCTTTGAGGTGGTTGTTGCGGTCGACCAGAACCCCCATATGGTTTCACTGCACTCGAAGGTACATGAAGCTTTTGGCATCGTAGGTGATGTGGGTAGCCAACAGACCATTGCTGCCATCTGGCAACATGCAAGGGGGGCATCCGTACTGAGCTCCGGGTTCAGTTGCCAGCCATTTTCACGACTTGGTGATTGTAGGGGTGAAGGAGGTTCTAGGTCAGATAGTCTCACCAAAACCCTGAATGCTGCCATGCTATTGCGCTCGTATGCCGTAGTGTTGGAGTGTGTGGCACCTGCTGCGCAAGACTCTTTTGTCGCTGCCGAAATCGCCAGGTTCTGCAAATGCACAGGACTTCTATGTTCTCAGACTGAGTTGAGGCTCGATCATGTTTGGCCATGCCGACGTCATCGTTCATGGTGGATTTTCACTGCACCGGAAATGGGTGAAATCAAGTTAAGACCATGGCCAGCCCTTGACAACCTGTGTGAAGTGCAACAAGTTATCCCAGAAATCCGACTTTGGGATCTTGGTGACGAAAATCAACTTTCTCTGAATGAAACTGAGCTTGAAGCCTTTGGTGTCATCCATGATCAACATGCAAAGCACATGCTTAATTGCAAAGGTGTAGCGCCATGTGCTCTCCATGCTTGGGGGTCACAAACATGTGCGTGTCCATGTGGGTGCCGGCAGTATGGTTTCTCCCAGCATCGATTGGAGACCAAAGGTTTGCATGGATGTTTGGTTCGTAGTGCTGTTTTGCCAGATGGTACAACCAACCTTCGACACCTTCATCCAAATGAGGTTATGGGTTTGAACTCAATGGACCCTGTGCTGGACTATGGAGAACATGTCAAACTTACCCTTTCTGCTGCTGGGCAACTGGCCAGTCCAGTTCAAGCACTTTGGGTGTTCGGCTTTCTGTCTGCCCAGTTGGATGAGCTGAAACAGATCAGGAGTTTTGATGCCAATGCACAGATTCAGGCGTACAGATCATGGCTCCTCATGAGATGCCGCTTAGTGTGGCCAGCACCCCATGAGTTTGTGTGTGATGCCAAACTTTTGGCCATGATGGGATTCTGGAGGGAATACAAAGACCTTTCTCTTGCTGAGCTTGTGTTTCCCATGCGGTGGGAGGATTCTCTTGAAGGTTCTGTGAACATTGCTTCCGTTTTGGACCACATCATCAGAACTCATGAAAATGTGCCAGCCACAATCCCGGATGTTTCACATGAGGATGAACCAACGCCATGGTTTGATGCTCCGGTGATTTCAGATGACCCGACTACTGTTGGATGCATGCAGGCTGATTCGTGTACAGTGGTCATTGAGGGATCGCACGACTCCCCAATCCGGTTTCAACCCACATGTTGTGCCACTGTGGAGCAATTTCTGAAAGCCCATGCCAAACTTGTTGAGTCTTTGGATGTTGAAAGTATCACCTTGAATGGAGTGAATGTTCCGTTGGACCATGTCATGGAAGTTGGGCAAGTGATCATCTTGAAAACCAGACCTCTTCCCAGTCAAGAAACGGTTGACAAAATTGAGGAATGTATTTCCCCTACTGCTACCTGGTCACAGCCTATTCAGGAATCATGTGAGATTTTGTCACCACCTCGTAAGGTTTCGAAGTTCGATGTTGGGGAGTGCTCCATCCCTGGTCTTGCTGTCCAGGATCAACCATGGCTTGACGCCACCCCATTCCTGCATTTGCAAGGTGAGCAGTTTCTGAAGTTGACCCTCCCGAATGTTGTTTCACCGCAGCAGTTGTGGTCCTTGAGACACCAATTTTTCAAGACTGACGATCGACTTCAAATCCTTGATTCCCAAGCACAATTCTGGGCCGATGATGAGATCAGGTTTCATTTGTATGGCCTGGCAACGGCGTTCCGTGATCACCAACTCAAAGGCAACAAGGCCATTGTTCCAGCATGTGTCATTGATCCTTTGATTTCCACTGCATGGGTTATGGGTAAGGGTTTTGACTGCATGTTCTGGGCCAAAGATCATCCCGAAATTGCCCAGAAACTCCACCCAATCATTACTGTGGTCTTGATTGAACATCACTGGGTCCCTGTGTATATGACCCCGGTGCAGGGTGTGCTGCATGCTTTCACTTGGGATAGAGCTGAGGCACAACATGAGGGGCTCAACAATGTCCTTCAACAACTTGCCAGTGCTTTGGGTTTTGAGTCAGCGTTGATTTGCCGAGAACATCGTCTGTTTTTCACCTCTGAATTGTGCGGATCTCTCGCCATAGCGTTTTTGCGAAATGCACTTGTAGGAACACAACTCCCAGCTGATTGTGGTGAAGCAGTCACAGTGCACGCCATGCTGCGATCGAAGTTTGCTCAGACTGTACAGAGAGCCCAAATCACTGACCGACCATGGATTTGGGGGGCGGGTGATCAGGCATCGTCTTCTGATGCCATGCCAGTTCCGACACAGGTCAGCGTGCCCACTGTCAACATCTCTAGGGATCAGAGAATCGACCTCATCAATGAGAATGGTACTGCCATGGCTGATGACGAAATCCGGTTTCACCTGCTGCGTTTGATTGAGAAACAGCCAACTAGTTGCACTCTTATGGGTCGAACGTTCACCTACATTGAGCCACTGATTTTCAACTGCTGGAAGTCCATTGGTAAGACTATTGTAGAACAATGGTGTACTAAGAACCCAGAAGTTTTCACCCAAGGATTGAATGTCATCACTGCCTTTTCGGTTGATGGGCATTGGTTACCTGTTTGGTTTGCTCCCCGCAATACTACTCTTCAGGTCCATATGTTTCATGGGGCAGATGACGGGATGTCCTGTGTGGCAGAAGTGATTGAGTGCATCGCACAGAAGTTGGGTTTCCTGGGTTTTGCAATTCACCGCGTCCCTGAGGGACTTAGTGGACATAGCATGTGTGGGGCCCATGCCATGTGCTTTCTTGCGCATGTTGTGATGGGTATGCCATTGCCTGAGGATGTCCAAGAACTCCGCACCCTGCATACTAACATGAGAGCTGCGTTTGTTGAGCATCTCTATGCCATTGATTCAACACCAAGACCAGTGATTTGGGGTACTGGTAAGCAGGGGTTTGTCTCAGGGGACTCCCGTCCTTTGAATTGCCCAGAACAACATCCGCCCCGAAGCCGACTTGAAACACAGAGTTTTGCATCCGTGCCAAGAAGCAACAGTCCTGTCCCACTCCCGCCTGGTCCTGTGAATGTGTCATATCAAGGTACTGCCCATTCCGTCTTGTGTAGTACCCATGCCAGCAATGTGTCGTCCAGTTCTGCCCAAGGTCTCAGTCCGTCCCCTGTGTCCATGTTTCACATGCCTGCACGGGAATCCGGGCCACTCCCTATAATGCCCGCTGATGTCTGCACTGTCCATGATGTTGGCCATGCCATGCCAGTCCAAGGTGTGCTGAATGCCCCTGATGTCACCCGTGGATGTGGGGGAGCTGTGGATGTCTCATCGTCGTCATGGGAATACGGGCCACTCCCTAGAATGCCCGCTGCAGAATCTGTGCTGCATGATGACATGCGGAGGTCCCAGGCCACGCAGTGTACTGCTGACAGTGACGTGACTGCTGCCCCGCAAGTGCCTGATTCAACCCAAAATGAGTCTGCGCGCAATGCCAGACTTTTGCAAGTTACATCGCGCAGCTATGCTATG